GGGTGGTGTTATAGGCTAAAAAATGGATTTTTAAAAAAATATTTTTTTTTCAACATTTAAAAAAAAAATTCACGGGAAACGCCGGTCCCTTCAGCTAGTAATTATAATAATAATAATAATTTAGTTTGAGTAATCAATCACCATTATTAAGGGGGGCCGTATGCCTAGTTTCAAGTATAATATCATTAAAAGTTTTGTTTGATCAAGTATGAATTAGATATCACTGTTTAAAACTTTTGATTTTGGTTTCTCTACAAAAGTGTCTTGCGCATTTCTACCGCAGGAAAGCATATAGGAATTATCAAAACTAAATACTTTTAAACATAGAAAAGCTAAGATTGTACTTGATTAAATTGTATATACTCTAGGTAACCTGCGGAGAGCACAGTCAAGCTAACTCTGATCCTAATGAGGTTTCTATGACGGTAACTCAGGTTATCATCCATCCTAAGTATATCGAAGCATCTTCTAGTGGATACGATATTGCTATCTATAAGGCAGGGGGTCTAAATATTCTTATATTTGCTTTGTGTCTTCTCTCTTGGCTTTTATGTATTTAATATAATTGTTGGTGTGCTCTCAGACAGTCAGGATAAAAAAATGTTGTCGTAAATTTTGAAAATAAAATTCACAAGCATGATATATACACAATGCAGCAACCCATAAAAACTATAAAAATACGGGATTTAAGCAATCTTGTTTGTTGCAATACAAATGGTTTTAACATAAGTAATCAATCAAACTGCTGTTTCATGTTCATCGGACTATTTAAAGTCATTACTTGAGTATTACTGTCGTCTTCATAATCCACAGCTTAGGGGCACACTGTAGATTAAAGAACTGTAAAGGAATTAATATTTTGCCAAAAACTCACATCTTTTTATCTTTGCAACTCCATGTCGTAGACCTTTGATATTTTAAACTATGACGTCTGTTATATCAAATATTCTAGATTTGAAATATCAAAGGTTTAGGCCATCACGTTGTTAAGATTTGGGCATTAGAACATTTGAGTTTGTGACAAAAACTCAATTCCTTTATATAAGACTATAGATCCTCCCGGTGTAAGGTTGAGGATGCTCCTCTAGTAAATAAGATGGAGAGGAAGAAGATCTGGCCTGTATGTTTACCAGAGATTGACACGAACAAAATATTTTATACATGCACAATCTAATCTCAGACTTGGAGATATTGTTTAGATTTTACTCTGATGTATCTGGACAGCTTAAGATCTAATTATATTGCAAACAGTATTAGGTTATATTCAGTGATTTCTCAGACACGGCCCTCCCACTGAATACTCCGGTTTATTTAAAGTACCTGACCCACATTTAGCATGAAAGCAAGATGTGCAGCACAAAATACATACCGACGGTATAACGGAACAGTACATTATATGAATCATCTCCTTCTAGCGAGATTAAAATACTTCTCAGCCATGTCCATGGGAGTTCCAAATCATCTCTATCCTCCTCCAAAGTTTTATTCGCATTGATATTTCGCATTTTTTATGTCCGTGTAAGCGTAGCAATGGACATGAAAATAATCGAATCATCACGTGCTAATATCATAACTCAACTCTTGACAGCTGAGTCAGTTACAGTCATATTCATGATTTATATATCTATATAATAAAACAAGACATTCGTATATATATATATGTTGCGTATAGCCGGCCAAACGGCTGAACCGATGTGGCTGAAANGCTAAAAAGTTCGTTTTTTTTTCATTTTTTTTTACATTTTTTTAAAAACTTTTTATAACATTTCTTAAAACTTTTCTTATAAAACTTTTTTCCACGGGCAACGCCGGGCCTTTCAGTTAGTATATTTTAAATTCGTACAGTAACAGGGTAGGGATCAGACCCATAAAACTGTAACAATAGAAGACGAAACAAAAAACACTTTGTTTTTTTTGATGCTGTTTGAAAGCAAACGAATTTTCTTGAAAATTAACTTATTTTGTTAAATGGGTCTACGTGTGCACTGTAAAATTTCTGTGTTATAAGTTCATTGGACTAATTGAAGTAATAACTTGAGTCTAAACGTCGTCTTCTTACTCTACAGTTTTCTGGGTCCCACTGTACATATATAAACTGATGAATATCTTGTAAAATATTCTGAATCTGACTGCAGGGAGTATGCCAAGGAGACAACATTTGTTGCAGGCTGGGGGATAACCAAGGAGAGAGAAATACATGTAAGTATTTAATGAATTTAAAGGGAGGGTCTGGCTAGACATGGTAGTTGAACTGAGAATACAGTATTGTAGAGAAACTTTTTAGGAGCATTAAAGACCTATCGGATGTTTAAACGTTTTACGTTGTTTAATTGTTCAGCAAGAGCGAAAATTCAATCTTTAAAATCCTCGATCCTGCATTGTCCATTCTGAAGAAATGATTTTGAGAAATGGGTTTAAAAAAATTATTCGATAACGACAATAAAAAATGTAACCAAAATTCTACAGTAAACTAATTAGATGTTTAGGAATATATTTTTAAAAAAAATTTGTTAATAAATTAATGTTTGAATCAATTCTTTCTTTTTCATCAATATATACTGAATTTTTTATTTTTTACAAATCTTTCTTTGTTCGCAGATTTACTCAAATTCTTCAACTTGTTCATTTCAATAGAAATTACAGGAAATCTACCGAAAATGTTTGGGAACAAGGAGACATTATACAAAACTAACAATTGCATAAGATTCCTTATTTTCGATGATACGAGTCAATTTTTATTATTGTAATCTGTTCCTAAACAACTAATTAGATTACTGTAGAATTTCGTGGTCGTCATTGAATAATAAAAAAAGATTCTCAAAATCTCTAATCTCTAAAATGGACAATCTCTGAGAATTTTAAAGATTGAGTTTGCACTGTTGCTGAGTAAAAACGTCAGATAGGTCTCAAATGAATCTTTAAAAATTTCTCTATAACAATACTGCATTCTCAGCTCAACTACCATGTCTAACCAGACACTCCCTTTAAAAGGTACTGTAGACCTCTATTCAAGTGATCCCTACATTTGATAAGTGGGATGTTTGATTTACAGTTAAAGTACCCTTTAACACTCGGTCTGATCAAGTTTCCTTGTAGAGTTTGCAATGAATTTTGAGCGAGAAAAATATGACTTTCTTAAAAGGAACCGTTAAAGGATACTGAAACGCGGATCAATTATGGATTAATTGAAATGACGTCTTCAGTTCTTTTGCTGATGATGGTAATGAGTATGATGATAATGATGTTGATGGGGATGATGATGGTGATTGTGATGATAATGGTGATGTTATGATGACGATAATGATGATGATGATAATAATGATAATGATGGCTATGGCGATGATGATGGTACTTATTATGAGAATAATTCTATAAAGAATAAGAAATGAATTGTTGAACTAGGGTCAAAGAGTGCAAGTGAAGGGCATACCTGATGTAGCTAGACATGCATCTGTAACTGTCACCAACTGTGAAGACGCGGATAATTTTGAATATCCTAAAGGATTAATCTGTGCTTCGGAACCAGGTTAAATATATTCTTTTTCATTCATCTATAATTTTTCATCTCCGAGGATAACTATAAAGAGTCTGTAGACGTAATTTTCATGGACCCACCAATCATGGATATCCATGATTAAGATTTTGAAAAATTTAATAATTTTCAAGTCTGAAGAACGACGTTATCTTCCACATTATTGATCAGATAAAGGTTTCAAGGGTACCGTTGTGAATCATATATGTGCCCCCTTTAAATACCATTGATAACCCCCCTCACCTTACTATACTCCCATTGATAATCCCCCTCACCTTACCATTTACTTTCAATGGCCATTGATAACCACTAAATGTTCCTGTGTATAGGAAAGGATTCTTGCCAAGGGGACAGCGGAGGACCTCTGGTTGGAACAGCGCATAAATATTCTGATGCAAATACTAAACGATATTCTTGGATAGGAATAGTTAGCTTCGGAGTTGGTTGCGCGGAGGTTAGATTTCAACCATTTTAAATATACAGGTTTACCCATAATATAGGAGACTTTATTGGAGACAAATGGGCGCAATGTTTTTAATCCTTTTTTAAAGTTCATTGTTCCTACACATCCGTAAAATCGTTTCTGTCATTACCAAATTATTTGAGTTGTTATTTAAGACTTTATTTATGGCAATGGACCAAGTTTAACCCCTAAATCGCTAGGTTTTAAGAGCTTTCAAGTAGTCATTAAAGTCTCATGTTTTAATGTTTTGTGGGTAACCCTTATGATATTATTTATAAATATAACATTTTATTGTTTTGTTTAATCCAGCTCAGTGCATCAAAAGCATATTTTGTTTGAAATTTTTAAATGACTTTTTCTTTTGCCTTTGTTCTTACATCTTCAGCTTCCGTTTCTTCCAAAGCATTTGTTTTACCTAAAATTTACTGAAATAAATGGCATATGTAGAAACTAACCCTAACAGATAGAATTATTGAATACATACCTGATAAACTGAGATATAGACAACTCGAACTTTAGTAATCAAATTTTCGGCCAGTCTTGACTTTAAAGTGTTGCAACACAATAGCCTTTGTGCTTACCTTTCAAACTCACTTATACTTTTTTGTAGGCGAAGACATATACATTTAACGCACTTGACCCAATGCTTAAATTGTCAAAACACTGCTCGATTTTTGTGGGAGAGTGTGCACAACTGGGTTTGCAGTGAATAGCAAACGACAATAACATTTCCGCTTGTATTATGGTGTCAAGATACCGTGTGTGAATCGAATATGCTCCCTTTACTTTCTGCTGTAACATTACAGAGAAGTTTTGATGATTTTTATGTTATTTTTCTGATTTAAATTCAGGTTGGGTATCCTGGAGCCTACACGAGAACATCTTGCTTCCTCGGCTTTGTGGCCGAAAAGTTTAATCTAAAATCAGATTTTTCGGCGGCCGGCGGGAACCCCAGCTGGTCAACTGATTGTCCTGAAGGCGCGAGCAGCAGACAATCCGCCAGACATAAGTAAGAATCAGTTTAGTTTTATAGACATAGGTTCTTCCTGGAAAATGGCGAAAATTTAAAATCTTAATATTTTAGTCCGAAACATATCGAATCAAATGAATTTTGGAAGTTTATGAGGAAAAAGATAAAAACGCAGTTAAAAACTGTCAATTAAATAGACTTTTATCAATTGCATAGCATTATGCAACTTTTAGTCCATGACAGGAAGTGTCAGTTCTAATTTAACAGAATTAATTAAAATCTTGAATTTGTGGATTACTGAAAGTTCACTTAATGATTGCTCCCCCCTCAGGAGTTCTTGTATGCGCCCCTGAGTTCAATATATGCCAGATGCCTCAAATACAGAAATAAACTTATGTATTATGACCTAAAACTATTAGTCTCGGAATTTCCAAAATGTGGTCTACAATTTTTGCACCTTAAAAGTTGACAGAGATATTGAGAGGTATGTCCAGAAATTATTTTAAAAAGACATTTCCGTTAATTTTTAAGATAAAAGTAAGACGACCAGAATTTGGACATCTCGTAAACGTAACCCTGATGCGTTTTAGCGTTGGTACCCGCTAATTAAAGAAAAAGGCCTTTTTATTCGTTTCTCAATCTTATTTTATTATTAGAAGCTGGTATAGAGGGAATGGGAGACCTCGAAGCTCTGTTAGAAAAGGATCTCGGAAAGACACTATAAACCCCGTCTCTGAAGAGAAGACCGAACCTAAACCTACAGTATCCAGTAATAACACGGATTCAACTACCGAGAAATCTCCTCAATACTTCCCAAAGGAAAACCTTGTTACTATTCAAGATTTTGAACCAGAGAAGAAAGAGGAGCAAACAAAAGACGAAACTAAAGCAAAACAGACGAAAAAACAGAAGATAAGTAAACGGAAACAGAAGAATAAACGAAAAAACCAAAACAAAATGAAAATAATCCATGTAAATTAGCCATTTTCTTGTCCTACAATCCTGGTGATAGAAATAAAAGTATTAGGTATTAAATGTATATTTACTAAGAATGAAACCCTGTTGTTTTATAAACAAGAGACACAAAAGTTACTAAGTATGTACGAGGGTTTGAAATTGCAATATCACGAGGACAAACCACCGTCCCCATCCCACATGAACTTATTAAATTGGTATTCTTAACGTTTAGAAATAGAATAAAGCTGGATTAAAGCTGTCTCTGAATCAAAATGATAACAATGTATCTTAACCCATCAGAGAATAGACGGATCTGTTTCATCACCTAAATGTCTCGAAACCTCATTTAATATGGACATTTTAAAAACCCTGCTTTCGACATCAAAATACTGTCATGTTCTGTAGATTGTAGAATAAAGATAATACCAATTATAAAGCAATGTTATTTTGTTTATTTCTCGGATCTACAGAGTAAAGAATCCATATCTCAAGTAAAAGCTAGAATTTACATAAATTTTAACTAAACAAAGGCGACTGTAAGAAAGTCCTACACTGTTCCAACAACTTGAAAAAAAGCTGCAGAGCTATTATCAAATATTGTTTGCTGGGAACTGATACAGGTTTGGTTTAAGTCATCAATACATACTGGATGGTTGGTTGGATGGTTGTACTTGTTTGAGTAATTTTGTCAATTTTTTCTTGTTTATGAACTAAACTTCTTCACGAAGCAGAAGAGATGTTGTTAGTCCTTTATAACGAGGACTATAGGTTTTAATACTTTTATTAGAACCTGAGAACCAGAATTAGAACTAAGTATTCAATGCACAATAACTGTTTCTTTTACTCATTCTCTTTTTATCTGGTGATGAGTGAAAACCATACTCCGGGTCAAGATTCAGGTTCTCCTGGAACTAGATGGAGCTAGATGCAACCTAGCTCTCGTTTCCTGAAGATGGTTTCACTGACATGCCTTGAGCTTGTAATTGCTGGATTAGTGCTTGATGTGCGGTTGTACTGCTCGGTTCAGGAGAGAAATCTAAACATTTAAAATTTAAAAATAGTTAATTGGTTTAACCCCCTCCCCCTCACTACTACTACTAGAGTTGATAAATGATTACCTAAGTCTGTATCTGGATCTAGTCTTGGTCTTCCTCGTCGTCCACCACGGCCTCTGGCGGCCGGAGGACGAACTACTCGTCTTTGGGAGATAACCACAGGAGAATCATTGTCGTCTTCTATGACAATCTCCTCCGGAGGCCCAGAGTTGGGTTTGAACATCGGTGTAATCTGACGCGGCATCATTGCCATGGCGGCGCCTGGTGCATGCTGTGATGCGCCACGGAACCTGTACAATACAATCAATTAATCTTGGTCTTTGTACATAAAATCAATATTTGGAAGTATATTTACCCAAACCTGTACATGCCAGGGTATTGTTGGTTTATCATCGCTTTAGCTTTGGCCATCTCCTAAAAATTATTAAATAATTGTTAAAAACTTTTTTTTTCATGTACAAGTTACAATAAAATCCAATGCGATGTGGCTCCCCTGTACCAACAAAGTTTCATGAGAAAGATTTTTTAACTTTACATATTTCAGGGGTTATTAGTTTTAAAGTGAAATCAAGGTCATAATTGTATTTTTTCTACCCTAAGAAAGGTTAGATCTTCTTCTTGAATTACCTGCTGATAGAAGGATTGATCGTATCCTGGGCCCTGTCTTTGTCCTACTCCTAGTGTATTCTGATTCATTATCACTGGGGTCTGTGTTCGGTGCAAATTTTGAAGCTGCATAATAGCAGACCTTGTCCTCATAACCAGCTCCTCGTGGCTTAACTCAGGGTTCATGCTCTTCAACTGGTGCTGGATCGCCATTGGGTTGATGGGGCTGGCCATCACCCTCCCATCCCCGGAGCGGGGGAGCATACCCTGGAGCATGGCCCCGAAAGCGGTTATGTTCTCGATCCCGACGTTGGTCTGGATGAGACCCTTCTTCTCGTTCTCGTATTCCTCCCAGGCAGCTTTACGTTCAGCTTCAGTTAGATTCTCATCAACCTGAACACAGTAAACTCATTTAAAGCGAGTGTTCGCGCAAAATTAAACAAATAAAACATGAATAGTTAAGAATCAAGTGGTTCTATTCATAATTATGAATTTATATATAAAGTCGTAATCTCTGTTTTGGCGTTTGTCTGATCATAACTGAGAAACCCCTTTACTGATTTGCCTCAAATTTTGATTTGGAAACCCTGTATAACCACGGGAATGTTCTTAGCTTGGTTTAATTTTATTGAGAAAGCTTAGTTTCCAGGCAAAGCTAGGTACCCGAGCTAGTATCCTATTATTATTATTATTAGCAGACAACCAATCATTCAATGACATAGGACCGACGCTCCTTGACATTACAGTGTATCCATGGGAAAAACGGCCTGCCTTGCCCTAGTAAGGAGACTAACCCAGGCGGTCTGCCCAAAACAGATTTATTTTAAATCTCTTTCATTGAATAAAAGGTTATCTATTAATAAGAAGTCCAAAAACGTTGCCTACCACTAAAACACTGGAAAAGAAAATTGGAAATGAATTAAATAGTTTACCTTGTTCTCCAGCAGAGAATCGTGATGATGAAACTTCCAGATCAACTCTTTATGTTTATCCACTAGCTCCGCTAGCAGCCTATCCTCTGGTACACTAGGAGTAGGTTTAGCGGATAAAGGTTCCTCTACATACTCGTATAGTTCCGCTAGTTCTCCCATTGTAAAGTGTCGTTCTATCTGCTGTTCATCAACTACACGAGCTGCCAGGGATTGTTTTGTAACTTGACGATCATAGATCTTTTCCTCCATTGTTCCTTTTGCCAAAAACCTAAAATATTGAAATAATATTGGTTTCAAATTGAGCATTTAGTGGTCGAAGATCCATTTTGATTAATAAGTAACTTGGATGTTTCAATGAAAATTTGGTG